AAGTATGAAGATGAAGGACGAACACAAGACTGTATAATCTGAAGATATGAAGTGAAATGAACAGGAGTATGAAGCTCTCTCTGCCTCCTGAAATAACGTGCAAGTGGGCCGTGAAGGCACACGGGGATGTGGGCAGCTGCTGCTCAACCACAATCAACGTGGGCAGCCTTGTGCGTAAGAGGCACAGTAAAAGGGGAGCTGCAAGAACAATGAAAGGGGTACCCCAAGGACAACCAAAAAACTGTCTAATTATAAAATTGCTTTAATATGTTGGACATCTCAAATGCGCTCGTTGTCTGCAATAGGACAAAGACTACTTTGATTCTGAATCTATTCACCTGAGTGGAATTGGGGCTGTTGTGAGGAAAATCTAAAACACACACACACACACAAACAAGTGTGGCAGTGTATATTTCCATGTCCTTGCAGTAGATTCATTGGATTTAACTCATCCTATCGATGGAAGTACCATGAGGCCAGCTGCGAGGTTGGAGACTCTTTCTCTCTCTCTCTCTCTCTCTCTCTCTCTCTCTCTCTCTCTCTCTCTCTCTCTCTCTCTCTCTCTCTCTCTCTCTCTCTCTCTCTNCTCTCTCTCTCTCTCTCTCTCTCTCCTTGTGTGTGTGTGTGTGTGTGACGTGCACCCTCCCGTGGGCAGGTTCCCTCTAGCCGTCAGTCCCACGAAAGTGTGTGATGGCCAGAAACACAATTTTCCAACCCCCACGGTTTTTTTTTCCCTTAAAAAAATTGAAAAAAAAAATTCGGCAGTGCGGGGGGGTTCCCGACTGCCAGGAGCACCCCCCCATGCCACCGAAATGAGGTTGCCCCCCCACTGCTTGGCACAGCTCCTTTTGGCAGGGCCGCTTTACCCCTGTCGAACTGGGGGTAGGACGGGGGTAGGGCGAAGGTGGGACGCCGCTCTAAGGTTAGAGCGGGGACCTTAGAGCGGGGACCCCCTGTTCTACCTTCCACCAGACACTCAGGCGGTGCTTGGTTCCATGGCCCTACCGGATCTCAGGGCCACACCCATGCAGCATGTTTGGTGGAACCCAAGAGGAAACAGGAAGCGGATGAGTGAAACCCATAGCACGGACAGGGTGAAGAATGCGAACATTGGGTAGTCGTCCATGGGGACCAAAAGCACAGGTAAGTAACCTCCACCTCCCCAACACTTAGCCTGACTTAATTTAGATTGGAGTCTGTCCTGCCTCATTTCTCCCCCCCACAGTGTCACTACAGCTACCCTGTCAGGCTGGTGGGCAACCAGCAGCTTAAGGTCTGCCTGCAAGGACCTCAGGAATTCATTAACGACGCTGACAAGACGTCGTGTCCACCTGGATCTGAAGGTTCGCTCTCAAGACTTATAGCTCCTCACTGTGTCAGCTCCAGTTCAGTCGCATGCTGGTCAGTACCAGTCTTAGGGTTACACGAGTTGTTTTACGAGCGCTCATCGCTCATGCCCATGCTTCCTACTTACGGGTGAGTCATCCAGCTGTCGAGCTTTTATCCTAAACACAACCTACTTCATACACGTATCTGACCAGAAGCTGACTTGAGACAAAATCAGATATGTCACCAAGTGTTCTGTCCAGCAGCAGCGACACCAAGATGTGGGAAGGTACACACGACTCTCATTCATCCATAAAGCGTGAATTGAATTTCCCGTTCCAATGATGGCAGTGGTATGTCAGAGATCTCCGTCGACGGTGTTGGTGCCATGTTCAATATGCCTAAACTACTCTCCTCTTCTTCGGAGATTGTGAATACTATAAGCAGCTTGGCACCATGCTACTGTGAAGGATAACAAACGACCAGAAGTCGGCTGCCGGCCAGCCAGACACCATCGTTATCAACACCTCAGCAGGTGGCTTGATAACGTGGGCGCTGGGCAACTGGGGCGAGCCCTCGATAACATGGGAAGAACAGCTCTCCAACCTCACTGTCAGACTCCAGATCTCATCTCGCCGGCCTTAATCTTGCCAGCGATCACCAACAGTGGATGCAGCGAGTACCAGCTCCGATACCAATTGCATTGAGCCACACTGGTCGTCACCTTGAGCACACACACCCACTGAGAGATCACACGAGGTCCACACTGGAGACCAGAGATGCAAAGTCCAGATTAGCACAGCTTAGAAATTCCAATGAATTATTATATTAAACAGTTTCTGAGTTCCGGTCACCAAGCGCTCAACGGCGCAGAGTTCAGCAACCCAAGTCCTACATCCTCATCTAGGTAGGTGACCTCCTCTCTCCCTGTCTCACTCTTGCTCTCTCTCTCTTTCTCCCTTCATGCATGTGTTAACTCCCTCTCTCTCTCTCTCACTCTCTCTCTCTCCATGAAGATCTTGACTCTGGATACATCCGCTACTACTCAGCTCTGCCTCCTACTACCAGCTGTGCGGCTATGGCCGCCTTCCTTCCTCAGCACAGCGCTGCCCTGCCAGGGCTCTAGCACATGCTACTCACAGATAGTGCACAAGCGCCCACTCCCACACTCCTTGCAAATGAGCAATCTGTTCGAAATGTGGCTGGCCACTCCCTATATTGACTTGCACTGAGCCTTGACTCGGCCCAGCCTCTGCTTCTCTTGGCTTGACTTGGACCGGGTACCGGCTGCCCGTGGCTTGTTTGCTTCAGAATGTTGAGGCGTGGTACCTTCCTGAGTTTTCCTTCGTGTGTTGCTTCTTTTGGGTCTGTGGGACGTGACCTTTGACTGTGGGTCGCCTGTGGAATACGACCTCTGACTGTGAGAAGTAACTTTTGCCTCTGGGATGTGACTGTTGACTGTGAGACGTGACTTTTGCCTCAGGGATGTGACTGTTGTCTGTGAGACGTGACTTTTGCCTCTGGGATGTGACTGTTGACCAGGCACCTGTTGATCTTGACCTTTGGGATACCTGATGTAACCTTTCTGAAACTGGCTGACCTGGCCTCCTTTGGCTCAGGGGCTTCGACCCTGAGATTTGAATTTGGGGTCTGCATTGTGAAATGCCTTTCAGTAATGGCCCCAGTATTCTCCGGGTTGAGATGTTGAGGAATTCCTGCCCTCATTGTTTGGACATATAATAAAACTGTGGAAGGAAACTGAGCAATAGCGAAATGACAGTCAAAAAAAAAAAAAAAAAAAAAAAAAATCCAGATTGCAAATTCACATTGAAAGCCAGATGTTCACTGTCCAGGAAGCAGAAATGCTCTGAAATGACACCGAAGGAGAATCAAAGCAGCGATCGAAGCTCTTCACCCTATTGGTGCTCAGCGCCCAGACTACCTACAGCTACTATCCTAAACTACGAATTGACGATGCAACCCGTTGACGTCAGCAGCAGGGACCAAAGTACAAGCAGATGTCAACCTTGTATACCATCACCAAGACCAGGTACATGCCCTCACATCATCATCCTCATCTCTCTCTCTTTGCTCACCCTCGTCTTCATCCCCCACGTCTTCCTCCACCACGAAGACCATCACCGACCCCACTGGCTGTTTCCGAGCCAAGCCCGGCTATGAAGGGCTTGGCTATGGCGCTGCCGCTCTGTGGCGCCCTTCCTCTCACGCTACTGCACACGCGCACGCTCCAGCGCCCAGCGCCAGCGCACAGCCTTGGCCGCAAGCTCGAACCCGAGCAGCGCTGCCGCATCGCACACTGGTGCCTGAATGCTCTCAAGGCTGGCGGGCACTTTCCTATATGGAAAGATCTTGCCAGCTTCTCGCGAGTTGGCTGGGTGGACCGAGTCTACAGTAGCTTCCGATTGGGCCAAATTGTCTGCACCCAGGCCTGTTCAGACAGTGGCCTGGGACCGAATTGGTTAGGCATGCCCAGCCACCCAGGCGCAAATGTGCGGTGTTCCCTACTTCGACCACGTTGCTGGAAGATTCTAGAAGGCTCGCAAATATTGCTGATTCTCAGACTGGCGCGTGGCAACTGTCTGGCGCCCACCAAGATTTGGAAAAATTGACAAACTGAGGCCCCATTCAAAATTCAGGGGCCCGCCTTCACTTAGGGCGGGCACGCGTCCGTTGCAGGGGCCTTTTGCAGGTATGCCGAGGGTTAAAATCCTCACAAAAAGGTGTGTATTCACTGTATTGTGTGCCACTCTGTGACCTCATCTTCCATGCGGACTCCGCTGCGTCACCTTCCGAGTCTTGTATGTGGGTGGTAGGTGCGAATATTGTAAGCTCATCATTCTCTGGCACCCGAATTTTGCGAAGCAGATGAGGTTTAACTGCCGCTTGACCTATCCTGGTTTTGCTCAGCAGACTTAAAGTGGCCCCTGGGTGGCCAATGTCTTGGATAGCCACCACGAACCATTCGTTGTCGGGCCCTTTTGGTTGTAATGAAAGTGAGGGCTGTGGTCGGATCTGTTGGTACGCTGCAAACCGACTGACATGGCAGATCACAAAATCGATCTAGACAATAGGGAAAGAAAGTATACTATGAACCAGAAAACAGTTCCACTGTGCGAACTAAACACTAGGGAGTGTCAATGCTGTCTTGGAAATCACCCATTCTCGCGAAATTCGATATCATCGCATAGGTTTCGAATTGTACAGAGGTGATTGTACGGGAAACTGCATTGGAGCTCACTTCAGACGAAGAATTGCTATATTCAAGGAAAGTGAACAGATCTTGCTGAGGTAAGTCCCATCCGAATTTTGAAACCGCAAAGATATCTGCAAAAACCGCAGCCTTTCAAAGGCAATTCGTCACATCTCTTTCAGCTGAGCTGCCATGCATCAACAGAGTTGACAAGATTACACAGGTGAGCCTCAAAGCACCCCCCCTTTCCCTTCTCCTCATCTTTCTTTTTCTATTTCTTTTCTTTTCTTTTTGTGTGAGCGAACCCTTGTAATTGCCAAAATAGTAAAATGCTGATTTTGATTACGGTGTTCATCATGGGTTGGTGACTATTTATTTGCATCTGACAGGACTTCTGACACAATGTGATTGGTCATTGTCCCCTGTGTCCCTTTTCTGTTGTTTTGTATGGCATCACTTGCAGTCGCCAGTTTGTGTTCGGCAGTACGCTTATGGTCTTTTGGAGATTGTACTTCTGGCTGTCTTCCCTGAATTACATGCACTCATTCAGGATGTTCGCAGCGGTATTGCTTGAGGGATGATATAGCATCGCTATTGCTTGAGAGATGGTACCGCAACGGTGTTGGTCGAGAGGTGATACAGCATGTTTTTGGTGGTCACGTTTGAGCAGCTGACAGTGGGATTTGTTTGTTGAAGGCCAAAGAGAATTGAGAAGCAATAAAAAAATAGACCTTTGGCAAGAGAAGAGGCAGTCTTGGGCAGGTTGGTGGTTACTTTTCGTCGCTCTTCAAGTGGCCTCTTTTGACCCCCCCCCTCCTCCTCCTCATTCCCTGACTTTCCTTCACTGCTTTTTATCCTCCAAGTAGTTTAGGTTCTGCTTTTAGTGATGGTAGGAGGGGTCCCAGAATGCATGAGGTGCAGGTCCTGATGTATGGGGCTAGAATACACTGAGAATTGCAATGTGGAGTGTTGGCCGTAAGGGTATTGCTTTTTCCTTTCTCAAGAATGACAACCCTTATTCTTGCATGCTTCATCCATGTGTTGGTTTCCCTGGCAGCTCTCCTATTTTGTGTCCACTAAGTTTTATTTGTCTGCCAACAACTTCCGATGTCCTTTTCTAACAGATGGTAACTGTATGATTTTTCTTCTCTGTTTTTCAATCATTAAAATCCCTACTTGTCGCTGGATGAATTCGTTGCTTCATCTTCTGATCTTCAAGTCAGATTCCCAGCTCTTGCTTTGCTCCTCCTCTGTGGTCGATACGTTGCAGCGTAGGTGACCCCTTGTTGATTAGCACTTTTGCACTTGGCCGATGGACAAGAGAGCTAACAGTTTGTCTCATGAAATCTCTACCTGTCGCTGCATAAATTCGTTGTTTGATCCTCTGATCTTCAAGTCAGATTCCCAACTCTTGCTTTGCTCCTCCTCTGTGTTCATGTCATGAAATGGAAGGCACAAAATCAATCAAGTCTCTTGGGTTAGGCACAAAGCGCATGGAAAAGTATACCGTAGAAGGATACACCCGAGACTCGTTCTCTGCCGAGCCCCTATCAAGGAGCTTCCATACGTTGCAGCGTAGGTGACCCTTTGTTGATGAACGCGTTTCACTTGGCCGATGGACAGGTTTGATAGCTAACAGGTCTTTCTGTCAAATCTTCAACGGCCTTCTCCGGATGGCAAACGCTCCCACCTTTTATGGGAAGCAGATCGTGTGAGTACCTATTTTGGCCCTTACAAATTTCTCTTCCTCCTCTGCATGCATATAATAATAGAATGGTAAATTGTTAATAATGCTATAACAAGAGTACGTTGTCACTGATATTCGGTTGACGAGGTCGTTTAGCCAGCACGACTCCTGTTTCGGGGGGACGTCATTCCCCACCTGTGTTGGTGCAGATAGTGATTGCTTATATGTCTCCTGAGATGTTGTACTAGTGTAGAGTTGAGCAAACTCTGTAGTTATTTGTGGCTTGCTTTAAGCGGTCTTGCTGTTAGAAACTTAGCATGACATGAACTTTTCCACCTCCTGACTCTTGTTCTCAGGCTTTGTTAATACGTCTCGACTCTCGATTCTTCAAATGTTATTCAGTAAGTAATCAATCAGGAACTGTGGACCTATGGTTATCTTATCTTCTTGCTGTACATAGGCATACGCATTGTTGTGGTATATCTCTTGAATACATGTCCGCATTCATCGCTTACGTAGAGCTTGGGCAAAGGAGAGAAAGGGATGGTTGGATGGTTTGTGTCACCCACCGCTCCTCCCCGTCTATGCCCCGTTCATTTAAGATTTTCTTTTTTCTCCTTCCACCACCTTTGATCACGCGTATTGAAGCGATTATCGTATGAGAAGATAGTCCCGGATGAATGTTATTATGATGATGGTCCAGGACTATTTTATTTGTTGAAGAACAGGGAAATGTTTCGTTAATCCACAGATCCACGACTGTGTGCACTCGCCACATTTTATTCTCAGCACTGTGAATGCCCATGCAATACCACTTTTTGGGGAAGCGATGTGGTGCCCTCTGCTCCTCCTCCTGTCTCACACAGTCGATTCCCACCCATCTCTATTATTTTTTGTGATGTTTTGGTAGTAAAGGCGTCTACTAGAAGGTTCTGCCTTCAGAAGTTTGCAGTGGTGAGTCAGTCGTGTATGCAACTCAGCACAGCGCGCATCAAGGTGCTCTCAGCAATGTGATGGTCATTGGTGTTGCTGAACTTCGGTTTCGGCAAAAGGAAGCTCAATGTCATCACACATTATAGTAGTCTCAAGTTGCTGTCAAAGATCATTCTGAGTTCGGTCGTCCTTCTAGCTAACTCCATCTGGCACCTTGAAGGCCGAACAGGTAGATACCGATGGGTAGTTTTGTCATACGCGCCCAAGGATGCTCTGATTGGAAAGGGCATGCGCGAAGACTTGGCAGCCCTCATGAACTCAAAACGAAGTCTCTCTGGTCACACAGCTTGGCAGGTATGCATGCTCAGACAGGTACGCCACGGGCCTTCCGGTGTGATGGTGGGTCATTGAACACAGGTCGGTCACCCTATCTGTCTCAACTTGACTGTGGGGAAAGTGGTCAACATTTTTGTTTGTTTTTTTGAGACATCATGGTGCTTGGTTTCCCCTCCCCTTTCTTGCTTCCAGGTCTAGTTTCTTCCATCTGAATTCTAGTCTTTGAATTAGCACGTCCCTGTAAGGCGGAGTAGCCATGTGGTTGAAGCAAGCACCAGGAGTATGAATCCATCATGGCGGTTGGTCTACCCCCGCTCTCTATGTTTCGGTTTGATAAGATTGTGATGTGTGGAGCTTCTTTTTTATATTGCATTCCAATACCCAACACTGTTATCCGAACTTCTTCACGTTTATGAATTGTGATGCGGCTAAGGATTATGGATGGTGCTCTAGTCTAGGGAAGTAGAGCCATCGTTAATTGTGGGCTTGGTGGGCCATGGATGGTGCTAAGATGAGAATTGGTAGTCTGCGGAGGTTCAGAGGAGAAGGCAGTGGCAATCACAGTTGTTCTGAAAAGGGCATGTATTTATCCTGGGCAATGTCAGCATGGGGGGTGGTGTGGCTTAATGCCACTACTGTGTTTGTCTTGTCTTGTTTGCTACTGAGTTGGTATGTCTACTTTGTGGGAACCCAGGGTACCTACAGCAACGGGAGAACACTTGACTGAGTTCTGAACTTTTGTCCCTTCAGATTTCGCTTTGTGATGCAATGTTTGCCAGGATTATGTGCAGTATAGCAGATGTTTTGGCGAAACTTGCCGAAACTCTGAAAATTTAAAAATGTAAGTTAACAGTTAACTAGCATTTACTTTACCTGAGAAGCGTGTTCCACAAATGGGGCAGGACTGAAAAGTAGATGAATCAACAAAATGACATTAATTGCATGAAACATACTGAACAGCTCCGCCCCCACGCCCCCCCCCTCTGCCCCCTCCCCCCCCACCCCCACCTTCAAACCTCCTCTCTGTCGTCTTCTCCTCCCTCCTCCTCGAAGCGGTTGTGCTGTCTGGTCAGCACAGTGAGCACAAGACCTTGCTATTGTGCACCTGGCACCCTGCTGTCCTCTACCCTTCCCCGCCTCTTGGTGCCCAGTGTCTGCAGTGGCAGCAGGCTTGCTCATGAACAGGTTCTCTGAGGATTAGGAAGGCCTGTGAGTTCGGTCACAGAGCAATGGATGCATGGTTCCCGCTGGCAAGATCAGTCTCCAGAGAGTTTTGGCATCTCCGTTCTGCAAATGTGCAACGGGACGGAGATGGTAACAGCTCCACTGCAGATCAGTTGTCTCCATTCGGAAAATGTGGCCCAGGAAGAGCTGATTTCTGAGTTGCTCTGACCCTCCCACAAGATCTTATGAATTTATTATGAATAGTATGAGGCAAGAAGCCAGGCTTGTTGTGCCAGGGTCAACTGACTGGTAGCAGGTGGGTATAGCAGATTCTGATGCTTAAGACCTTGGCCCCTTCACGTGATGGGGTTAGTTGGCGCAGTCATTTGTATGTGTAGAATCGCCGGTGCTGATCGTATGGATGGACAGGTTGAAGGTATGCTGTGTGTTAAGCCCAGGCTTTTACAGAGGATTGATAGTTCGGCAGTTGCCTCGTAGGGGCAGTACGTCTAGCAAGCAGGTTGTTTTAGCTTGAAAATCCAAATATGATCCACACCATTACGGAATTCTAAGCTTGTGGGTTTGTGCTTCACTGGTCGTGGCAGCCAAATTTTACTAGCTGCCAAATTTGAAAACACCTGCATGCGGCCATATGCTTGCAGGTATCAATTGACCCAGGAAGCCTGGTGGGTTTCTGGGCCCAGTTTTTGGGCTGCAAGGGGACCACGGCATAGTTGCAGTGCACCTCGGTGCGCGGATTTGCGCACGTGCAGTGCACCATGCCCACCGCACCGCGAGCGCACCACGTGCAGTGTACTGGAAAATTTCAGGTCAAAGGGGGTTTCATAATTTCCTACGGCACCCCCCAAGGAAAAATGTTTAACTCGCCGCGCGAGTTCGGACACTGTCCGCGCCCATGGCCCGGAATGTATTTTCGGGCAACGGCTGCCGAATTCTGAATTCTGCAGGCCCCTCCCCAAAAAAATTCAAAATCACGGATTACAAAAAAAAAAGAAAAAAAAAAAGAGGCAGGCTCATTGTTACATACTTCAATGAGTATGGGCAGAACCAAAGATCAACCAATATAGGATGAGCATTTATGCAGCGGAAGTCTGATAACGAACTGACTCACATAGACTGACCTACATGGCATCACTCCACACACCTACAATCATGAGATGGTGGGGTCTGGGTCATTCATAGACGATACCCAGATCCCGTACACACATACACAGATGAAAGGTGGGAGGAGTGACGAAGGAGGTAGGAGGTAGATCACACCGATAKGTCACAAGATAGAGTCTGGTAGGTCTCCGAAATGGTAGTCCAAAATGTCATATAACAAGATCAAAATGTCGAGGACCAAAGGTCACCAATGTCGGAGATAACCGAGTCCAGATGTAACCGGTGTCCAACTATGATGCAGCCGAGTGTCAACCTCAACAATCTCCAAGTCTCCAATCAGGTAAATACCACAGTCTCGTATCACCGAAATCCAACTCTGATCTCTGTCCAACTGGATAGTCTCCAATCTGAAGAAGAAGAAGAAGAAGAAGA